CACCAAGGCCAGGGACCCCCAGTCTGTCCCCCCCTCACCGTCGGCCACCTCGAAGTCCCTGAAGGCCACCTCGGAGCCGCCGTCCCCGATGAGCACCTCCCCGTTGAGGGTGAAGCTCATGTGGCACTCGCCCAGGTCGATGAGGCAGCCCACGACGTCCCCGGCCTGCCAGGGCCGCCCGAAGGACTCGCCCCCCACGTGCCACCGCTGGCCCTGGGGACACCGGGGACACCGGGGGTCACAGGGGACACCAGGGGTCACAGGGAGCCACGACGTCCCCAGCCTGCCAGGGGCGGCCCGAAGGACTCGCCCCCCACGTGCCACCGCTGGCCCTGGGGACACCAGGGGGGTCACAGAAGGTGACCCAGGTGTGTCCCTGAGTGTCCCTGTGTGTGCCCACATGTCCCTGCATGTCCCAAGACGGTTCTGTGTGTCCCCACCTGTCCCCACAGATCCCTGAGCATCCCTGTGTGTCCCCGTCTGTCCCCCTGTGTCCCCCATGTCCCCGCCTGTCCCCATGTGTCCCAAGCAGGCTCTGTGTGTCCCCCATGTCCCCACGTGTCCCCTGTGTCCCTACGTCCCCCCATGTCCCTGTGTGTCCCTGCATGTCCCAAGAAGGTGCTGTGTGTCTGCACGTGTCCCCCATGTCCCCGGCTGTCCCCTGTGTCCCTGTGTGCTCCCTGTGTCCCAAGTAGGTTCTGTGTGTCCCCACGTATCCCTGAGCATCCCTGCATGTCCCCAGCTGTCCCCCTGTGTCCCCCGTGTCCCCCATGTCCCTGCCTGTCCCCCTGTGTCCCAAGTAGGTTCTGTGTGTCCCCTGTGTCCCCCACGTCCCCGGCTGTCCCCCGTGTCCCCCATGTCCCCGGCTGTCCCCAGCTGTCTCCCTGTGTCCCCCATGTCCCCGGCTCTCCCCCGGGTCCCCGGGCTTGGGGTGTGGGGACATGGGGACACAGCCATGGGGACACGGGGACACCGAGCTCAGGGTATGGGGACACTCCCAGAGGCGTGGGGACATGGGAACAGCAGGCTTGGGGCATGGGGACACCCCCAGAGGTGTGGGGACATGGGGACACCAGGCTCAGGGGTATGGGGACATGAGGACACCCCCATAGGTGTGGGGACGTGGGGACACCTGGCTAAGGGGCATGGGAACACAGGATCACCGAGCTCAGGGGAGTGGGGACACCCCCACAGGTGTGGGGACATGGGGACACGGCCACGGGGACACCTGGCTCAGAGGGATGGGGACATCCCCACAGGTGTGGGGACATGAGGACACAGCCATGGGGACACAGGGACACCTGGCTCAGAGGATGGGGACATTGACACAGCTGTGGGACCCCCACGGGGCACTCTGGGACCACCACGGGGCACCCAGAACCACCCCCAAACATGGGCACCCCAAAGCTCCTCAATGGTCTTCAAACTGGGACATCCCAACCCAACGGGGACATCCCAACCCAACCTTGACCCGTTGGACATGGTGGAAATGGGGGGGACACAGCTGTGGGACCCCCACGGGGCACCCCGGGACCCCCAGGGGGCACCCAGAACTGCCCCCAAACATGGGGACCCCAAAGGTCTTCAATAGTCCCCAAACTGGGACATCCCAACTCAACGGGGACATCCCAACCCAACCTTGACCTGTTGGACGTGGTGGAAATAGGGGGACACACTTGTGGGACACCACCAAGACCCCCAGAACTCCCCCCACCGGTGGGGACCCCAAACCTCCTCAAAATTTCCACACTGGGACATCCTCAACCCAACTGGGACGTCCCCAACCCAACTGGGACATCCCAACTCAACTGGGATGTCCCAACCCAGATGTCCCACCGTGACCTCTTGGACATGGTGGGAATCGGGGGGGACACACCTGAGGGACACCCCCAACCTATGGGGACCCCCCCAGAAGATCCTCCAGGACCCCCAAACTGCGACTTCCCAGACTGGGATGACCCCAAACTGGGATGACCCCAAACTGGGACAGCCAAACTGGGACTTCCTTTGAAGGACCCCAAACTGGGACCTCAAACTGGGATCCCCCACAGAGACCCCCCCCAAAACGGGGACCCCCCAGCCCCCCCAAACGCACGTTTTGGGCAGTTTGATCTTCTTCAGGTTCTCCTCAGCCTTCTCGTCCGCCATCCCCACGTGGCAGCCCAGGGCCAGCAGCGTCCTGGGGACACCCCAAGAATCAGCACCCCCAAATCTCTGACCCCTCCTCAAAGCCCCCCTACCCCCGAGCCCATCACCCCCAACTCCAGGGGGCTCAGGATGAGGGGGGACCCCAAAACCCAGCTTGTTTTGGGGATACACCCCAAAGTGGGGGAACCCCAGAGTCTCCCCAGTCTGAGGTGAGGAGTGACCCCAAAACCATCTGAACCCCAAAACCCACCCAAGTCCCCCCCATCTGAGGTGAGGTGGTGACCCCAAAACCATCTGAACCCCAAAACCCCCTAAATCCCCCCAGTCTGAGGTGAGGGGGGACCCCAATATCATCTGAACCCCAAAACCTTCTCAAGTCTCCCCAATCTGAGGTGAGGGGTGACCCCAAAACGATCTGAACCCCAAAATCCCCCCAAATTCCCCCCCCAGTCTGAGGTGAGGGGTGATCCCAAAACCTTCTGAACGGCACCCCCAAACACGGACCCCAAAGGGAGAGCCCCAAAGGACCCCCCAAAATCACCCCACGGGATCACCTCGAAAAGGACCCGAACCTTGGGGAACCCCCAAAAAAGGGAGCCCAAAAAGGGGCAACTCTGATTTAGGGAGCCCCAAAAAGGGAGCTCAATGTGGGGACCCCTCCAAGGGAAAACAAATAGGGGATTTTGAGGGTCCCCAGGGGATTTTGGGGTGTCTGGGGGATTTTAGGGTTTCCTGAGAGGATTTTGGGGTTCCCCAAGGGATTTTCGGGTTTCCCGGTGGAATTTTTGGGGTTCACAGGGAGGATTTTGGGGTGTCCTGGTGGAATTTTTGGGGTTCCTGGGGAGGATTTTGGGGTGCCCAGGGGGGATTTTGGGGTGCCCCACTCACAGGCCCGTAGGTCCAGCCCTGCTCGATGAGGGTCAGGGCCCAGGGCTCAGGGTGGGTTTGGGGTTTTTATGGGGTTTTTGTGGGGTTTGGGGTTCCCAGGGGATTTGGGGATGCCCAGGGGGGATTTTGGGGTGCCCCACTCACAGGCCCGTAGGTCCAGCCCTGCTCGATGAGGGTCAGGGCCCAGGGCTCAGGGTGGGTTTGGGGTTTTTATGGGGTTTTTGTGGGGTTTGGGGTTCCCAGGGGATTTGGGGATGCCCAGGGGGGATTTTGGGGTGCCCCACTCACAGGCCCGTAGGCCGGTGGGATTTTTGGGGTTTCCTGGGGGATTTGGGGGGGCCCAGGGAGGATTTTGGGGTGCCCAGGGGGGATTTTGGGGTGCCCCACTCACAGGCCCGTAGGTCCAGCCCTGCTCGATGCGGGTCAGGGCCCAGAGCTCGTGGATGTTCTCCGCCAGCTTCTCCCGGATGCGCTCCAGGTGTGGGGGCAGCACAATCTGAGGGGGGGGGAAAGGGGGTGTTGGACCCCCAAAACTGCCCCCAAATCCTTCCCCAATCTCTTCAAGCACCTCCAAATTCCCCTTGAAGCTCCCCAAAACCCCCCTCCATCCCCCCAAACTCTCTTCAAGCACCTCCAAATTCCCCTTCAAGCCCCCCAAGGTTCCTCTCCAAACACCCTCCATCACGCCCAAATCCTCTCCCAATCTTCCTATTCTCCCCAAAACTCCCATGCCCCACTAAGCCCTGTCCCAATCCCCCCAAATCGCACCTCCACCCCCAAATCCCCCCAAATCCCACCTCCATCCCCCCAAAACCCTGTCCCAATCCCCCCTCAACCCCCCCACCTGGGGGACGGGAGGGCCAGAGTGAGATCCGGACCCATAGAGACCCCCTAGAAACCCCATAGACCCCACAGGGACCCACATCCCAACCTCCCCCAGACCCACTCAGCCCCCTTCTTTAAGGATCCCACCCCCCACTTTAGGGGTCCCAGCCCCACCTTAGGGGTTTCACCCCCCCCTTTAGGGGTCCCAGCCCCATTTTAAGGATCTCACCCCCAATTTATGGGTCCCAGCCCCCTCCCAGCCCCCTTTCAGGGCTCCCACCCCCCAATTTGGGGGGTCCCCTCCTCACCGGACCCCCGCCGAGAAGCTGGCCACGGGGCTGAAGAGGGTGTCGAGGTTGAAGCCCTCGAGGACCCCCTGGACCGGGGCCCCGTTGAGGCGGAAGGAGGCGCTGGGGACCCCCAGGTCCAGGCAGCAGCTGACCACGTCCCCCTCGGCCAGAGCCCGGCGTTGGGGTGACCCCACGGCCTTGGGGACCCCCCCTGGGGGGGTCAGAGGGGTCAGGGGTCACAGGGGACAGGGGGGTCACAGGGGGTCAGCAGCTGACCACGTCCCCCTCGGCCAGAGCCCGGCACTGGGGTGACCCCACGGCCTTGGGGACCCCCCCTGGGGGGACACAGGGGTCACAGGGGTCACAGGGGGCAGGGGGACCCCCAGGTCCAGGCAGCAGCTGACCACGTCCCCCTCGGCCAGAGCCCGGCGCTGGGGTGACCCCACGGCCTTGGGGACCCCCCCTGGGGGGACAGAGGGGTCAGGGGTCACAGGGGGGACAGGGGGGTCACAGGGGACAGGGGGATCACAGGGGGACAGCAGCTGACCACGTCCCCCTCGGCCAGAGCCCGGCGCTGGGGTGACCCCACAGCCTTGGGGACCCCCCCTGGGGGGACAGAGGGGTCAGGGGTCAGAGTGGGGGTTCCAGGGTGGTCCTGGGGTAGTCCCAGGGTGGTCCCAGGGGGTCCCAGGGGGGTCACAGGTGAGTCTCAGGGGGTTCCCGGGGTGGTCCCATGGAGGGTCCCCAGATTGTTCTGGGGTGGTCCCATGGTAGTCCCAGGGTGGTCCTGGGGTAGTCCTGGGATAGTCCCAGGGTGGTCCCATGGGGGGTCCCAGAGTGGTCCCAGGGTGGTCCCAGGGTGGCCCCAGGGTGGTTCCATGAAGGGTCCCCAGATAGTTCTGGGGTGGTCCCAGGGTGGTCCCGGGGTGGTCCCGGGGTGGTCCCAGAGAAAACTGGGGTGGTCCCAGATAGTTCTGGTGTGGTCCCATGGCAGTCCCAGGGTGGTCCCGGGGTGGTGCCCGGAGGTTCCCAGGGTGGTCCCCGGGGGGGGTTCCTGAGGTGGTTCCAGGGGGAGGTCCCATGGAGGGTCCCAGGATAGTTCTGGGGTGGTCCCGTGGTAGTCCCAGGGTGGTCCCGGGGTGGTGCCAGGTGCCCCCTGCTCACCTGTCCACAGGTGGAGGCCCCTGTCCCACCTGGTGACGTAGTTGACCAGGCCGGTCTGCAGCAGCAGGTCGCGGCGCGGCAGCAGGTTCTCGGTGATCAGGTTCTGGTTGGAGCGCACGGCCACCGCGTTGCAGACGCACAGCGAGCACAGCACGTCCAGCACCTGGGGACACCCCAGTGAGCTGGGGACACCTGGGGACACCTGGGGACACCTGGGGACAGCTGGGGACAGCTGGGGACACTGGGGACACACCTGGGGACACCTGGGGACACCCCCAGTGAGCTGGGGACAGCTGGGGACACCTGGGGACACGCCTGGGGATGGGGACACCTGGGGACACCCCAGTGACCTGGGGACACCTGGGGACACCTGGGGACACACCTGGGGACAGCTGGGGACACTGGGGACAGCTGGAGATACCTGGGGACACACCTGAGCACTCCTGGGGACACGCCCGAGTGAGCCTGAGCACACCTGGGGACAGCTGGGCACACCTGGGGACACTGGGGACACACCTGGGGACAGCTGGGGACAGCTGGGGATACCTGGGCACACCTGAGCACTCCTGGGGACACCTGGGGATACTTGGGCACACCTAGGGACACCTGGGGACACCTGGGGACACCTGGGCACAGCTGGGGGCAGCTGAGTGCGCCTGGGGACACCTGGGGACAGCTGGGGACACACCTGAGCACACCTGGGGACACACCCGAGTGAGCCTGGGGACACCTGGGGACACACCTGGGGACAGCTGGGGACACCTGGGGACAGCTCAGGACACACCTGGGCACACACCTGTGCACACCTGAGCCCACCTGGGCACACCTGGGCACACCTGGACACACCTGGTCCCACCTGGGCACACCTGGGGATACCTGAGGGCACACCTGGGCACACCTGGCCCCACCTGGGCACACCTGGGGACACACCTGGGCACACCTGGGGATACCTGGGCACACCTGAGGGCACACCTGTCCCCCCCTGTCCCAGCACACACCTTGTGGTTGCGGCCGTGCTTGTCGAGCAGCGAGATGATGGACTTGATGTGATTCTCCTGGATGATGTTCAGCACCTCGGGGCTCTCGATCAGCACGCAGTACAGCACCTCCAGGATGCCTGCGGGACCCCAGACCCACCTCAGAGACCCCAGACCCACTGCATGGGGGACCCCAGACCCATGGCAGGGACCCCAGACCCATGGGATGGACCCCAGACCCATGGGATGGACCCCAGACCCACAGGATGGACCCCAGACCCACAGGGTGTCATAGACACGGCAGCACGCAGTACAGCACCTCCAGGATGCCTGCGGGACCCCAGACCCACCTCAGAGACCCCAGACCCATGGCAGGGACCCCAGACCCAGCACAGGGACCCCAGACCCACCTCAGAGACCCCAGACCCACCTCATGGGGGACCCCAGACCCAGCACAGAAACCCCAGACCCACCACAGACATCCCAGACCCACCAGAGAGACCCCAGACTCACAAGAGAGACCCCAGACCCACGGGAGAGACCCCACATCCACAGCGCGATCACACTTACAGGAGGGGGGGTCACACCCACGGGGAGACCCCAGACCCACCAGAGAGACCCCAGACCCACAGGAGGGGGGCCAGACCCACAGTGGGGTCACACTCACGGGAGGGACCCCAGATCCATCGAAGGGGACCCCAGACCCATAGGAGAGACCCCAGACCCACAGCGGGGTCAGACCCATGGGGGGGACCCCAGACCCACAGAATTCCCCCCCCCCCAGCCCCAGGACACCTGGGGACACCTGGGGACACACCTGGGGACAGCTGGGGATACCTGGGGACAGCTGGGGACACTGGGGACACACCTGGGGACACCTGGGGACACCCCAGTGAGCTGGGGACACCTGGGGACACCTGGGGACACACCTGGGGACAGCTGGGGATACCTGGGGACAGCTGGGGACACTGGGGACACACCTGGGGACACCTGGGGACACCCCCAGTGAGCTGGGGACAGCTGGGGACACCTGGGGACACGCCTGGGGACACCCCGAGTGAGCTGGGGACACCTGGGGACACCTGGGGACACACCTGGGGACAGCTGGGGATACCTGGGGACAGCTGGGGACACTGGGGACACACCTGGGGACACCTGGGGACACCCCCAGTGAGCTGGGGACAGCTGGGGACACCTGGGGACACGCCTGGGGACACCCCGAGTGAGCTGGGGACACCTGGGGACACCTGGGGACAGCTGGGGACACGCCCGAGTGAGCCTGGGCACACCTGGGGACACACCTGGGGACAGCTGGGGACAGGTGGGGGCAGCTGGGGACACACCTGAGCACACCTGGGGACACGCCCAAGTGAGCCTGGGCACACCTAGGGACAGCTGGGGACACACCTGGGGGCACCTGGGGACAGCTGGGGACACCTGGGGACAGCTGGGCACTCCTGGGGACATGCCTGAGTGAGCCTGGGCACACCTGGGGACACACCTGAGTCCACCTGGCCTCACCTGGGCACACCTGAGCCCCCCTGGCCCCACCTGAGCCCACCTGGGCACACCTGGGGGCACACCTGGGCACACCTGGGCACACCTGGGGGCACACCTGGGGGCACACCTGTCCCCACCTTGTGGTTGCGGCCGTGCTTGTCGAGGGAGCCCCCCAGGAGGGTTCCCAGCCCCACAGGAGCCCCCCAGAAGCCCCCCAAGAGGGTTCCCAGCCCCCCAGGAGCCCCCCAGTGCCCCCCAGGCCGCCCCACTGACCCGAGGAGGCCTCCAGCCTGTCCAGTTTGCTGACCAGCCAGTCCAGGTTGGTGGAGAAGAGCGCGCAGTTGGCTCGGTTCCCCCGGATCAGCGAGGCTGGGGGGCGCGGGGGGTCAGCGCTGCCCCACGGCGCACGCGTGTGCCCCATAGCACCCCATAACTGCCCCATAGCACCCCATAACTGCCCCAGAGCATCCCATATCTGCCCCAGAGCATTCATATCCACCCCATAGCACACACACCTGCCCCACAGCGCCCACGTGTGCCCCATAGCACCCATATCCGACCCATAGCACCCATATCTGCCCCATAGCACCCATATCTGCCCCAGAGCCACCCCATATCTCCCCCAGAGCATTCTTATCCACCCCATAGCACACACACCTGCCCCACAGCGCCCACGTGTGCCCCATAGCACCCATATCCGACCCATAGCATCCCATATCTGCCCCATAGCACCCATATCCGACCCATAGCATCCCATATCTGCCCCAGAGCACTGACATCTGCCCCACAGCACCCCATATCCGACCTATAGAACCCCACATCTGCCCCACAGCACACACATCTTCCCCATAGCCGCCCCATAGCCACCCCATATCTGCCCCATAGCACCCCATATCTGCCCCATAGCACTCATATCCACCCCACAGCACACACACCTGCCCCACAGCACACACATGTGCCCCGTAGCACCCCATATCTGCCCCATAACTCCCCATAACCCCCCATATCTGCCCCATAATCATAACCCCCATATCTGCCCCATAGCCCCATAACTGCCCCATAACTCCCCATATCTGCCCCATAACCCCCCATATCTGCCCCATAACCCCCCGGATCTGCCCCCGGATCCGCCCCCGGGCCGCACCCAGCAGCTCGTAGAGCAGGTTGACGATCTCCTTCCAGGCGGCCGCCGCCTCCTCGCCCGCGGCCTCCCCGAACTGCGCCGCGGTGCTGTAGGCGCTCAGGCGGTCGATGCAGCTCAGCACCAGCGTCAGCATGCCCTGCGGCCGGGGGGCTGTGAGACCCCTCCCCTGGGACCCCCGGGACCCCCCAGAGCCCCCCAAACTGGGCACCCATCCTGGGACCCTCCCCAGAGCCCCTCAAAGTGGGACACCCATCCTGGGACCCCCAGACTGGCACCAGGGTCAGCATGCCCTGCGGCCGGGGGGCTGTGAGACCCCTCCCCTGGGACACCCAGGACCCCCCAACCGGGACACCCACCCTGGGACCATCCCCAGAGCCCCCCCAACCGGGACCCCCAGACTGGCACCAGCGTCAGCATGCCCTGTGGCCGGGGGGCTGTGAGACCCCTCCCCTGGGACCTCCGGGACCCCCCAGAGCCCCCCAAACCGGGACACCCACCCTGAGACCCCCAGACTGGCACCAGCGTCAGCAT